TGTAGTTGTTGGGCCTATCAGTGGAGGTTCAGCAATCCATCCAGGACCTCCCTTTTGACAGCCTGGCGCTGTTCACGGAACAAACAGAGAGCAAGTTACTTGGCCTGAAAGACTTTAGGGCTACCTTGCGCTCGCTGGGCCTCTACACACCAGCTCCTGTGAAAAAGCGGTTCAAACCTCCGCACTCCCACAGGTTCGGGAACCAATCCCGGACAGAGCCCTTCCACAGAAAGGGTAGGAGCTACAAGTGCTGGCAAGGCCAACAGCTGGCACCCTCAGCTCCCTCGAGCTCTGCCCGCAGCCAGCAGGGTAATAAGCAGTATTTTGAGGGTGCACTCAAGCCTGTGTCCTGGATCCAGCACCACTGCTTTTCTCCAACCGTCTGTCTCTCTTCCTCCCTGCCAGGGCTCCTATAACATTGGACCAATGGGTCCTCAGCACAATAGCAGGGGGTACACCCTCCAGTTTATTTCTACTCCTCCATCCGACCCCCCCCCAACCCTCTTCAGGGACCCTTCTCACAAGCATCTGCTCCCTCAGGTGGTGCAGGGCTTTCTGCGAGTGGGAGCTGTGGAGGAAGTCCCTCTGCACTTGAGGGGGAAAGGATTTTACTCATGTTATTTTTTTGATCCCAAAGGCCAAGGAGGGGCTACAGCCCATTCTCGACCTGTGGAGCCTCAACAAGTATCTTAAGAAGTTGAAATTCTGCATCGTCTCCCTGGCCTCCATCATTCCTTCCCTGGATCCAGGAGACTGGTACGCTGCCCTCAACCTGAAAGATGCTTACTTTCACATATCGATCTTTCACAGACACAGAAGGTTCCTATGTTTTGTAGTTGGGACCACCCACTAGCAATTTGCAGTGCTCCCCTTTGGCCTAGTGACAGCACCAAGGGTGTTTACAAAGTGCATGTCGGTGGTGGCGGCCTACCTCAGACGTCGGGGTATCCAGATTTGTCCATACCTCAATGACTGGCTCATTAAGGCCTGTTTCAAGGTACAGGTTCAATGCAGCGTCGAGATGTTGCAAGCCACTTGTCAAGCTCTAGGCCTGTTGATAAATGAACAAAAATCAACATTGGTTCCGGTTCAAAGAATAGTTTATTGGAGCGGTCCTCGACTCTGCCAGAGCCTACGTGCCAGAGGACAGGTTCAGGGCAATGTCAGATCTGATTCCCAAAGTCAGGGCCCACCTGATCACCACTGCCCGGGTGTGCCTCAAATTATTGGGGCACATGGCTGCATGCACGTATGTAGTTCGGCACGCGAGACTCAGACTACGCCCCCTCCAGATGTGGCTGTCGTTGGTCTACTCCCCAGCCAGGTATCACCTGGACAAGCGCCTCACAATCATGCCATAGGTACTTACTTTCCTGCAATGGTGATCTGACCCGGTGCTACTGTTGGAAGGGTGTGCCATTTGTGAGCCCATGGTCTCCCTGATATCGGATGCGTCTTGACCTCAGATGGGGAATGCATCTCAGTACACTGCGAACACTGGGGCTATGGTCACCCATGGGACTTCTGCATCCAACATGCAATCCACGCTAGAACCCTCACACCTTCCCGGTGTCCGGAACATGCTAGTTGTGGTCCCTCCACTCGGATGTTGTCAGGACGCTCTTCCAGAAGTGGGGAAAAACTCCCGGCACCGATGCATGTGGCGAGCACACACACCTACAATGGAATGGACATGAACAACACATTTTGAAGAACATCTTGAAGAACAACAGTTATGAAAGGTAGCTGTCTTTTTCCTTTTGTGTGTGAGGGAAGTTCAAGATGAACTGCACTGACTTTTATTTGATAAGTTCTTTATAAATCATTGGAAGCACTTTTCTGAGACCAACAGAAAGGGGTGAGGTCAAGCCAGATGGGTTACTAGGCAAAGAGTTCAATTCCCTCTACATCCACTACAGAGCAAGGCAACCCACGTTTAAAGGACTAGTGGAGATGTTAGTCACAGAAATGAAATATTTGTATATCAAATTCTCCATTTTCATTTCTAGATGCAATAGTATTATTTGCTTCTGGGGCTACTTTCTGATTGTCCTTCTCTACTGATCTTTTACCCTATATTATTTCTGATTTTGAAGAATGTTTCTTTTTCTTTCTTTGTTGTTCCTTTCAGCATTGTTTGTCATTAGTAGGAACATCAACTGTTTGGGAAAAACCACTGAACCTTGAACTCAGACTTGTTTCAATGAAGGAAGAACTCATTTTTAAATATTTTGCCTTAGAAATTGTTAGCTTGTAAGCTATTGCCTCCCTTTCTGTTACTGACTTGGGATCTGAAACTTTTATCTGTTTACAAATATTTATAGTTTGCATTTCAACTACAGTTTACACCAAAAAATATGAAAGAAAAATGAAAGGAAAACAAAGGGTAGGTTACACCAAGTGAGACTGAAGCTTCCAAGTTTAGGTCAAAACCACTTGTAACTCATGCTTACACAGTGTACTTTGTAGCCCATCCAGTCTGCTTATGGAGGTTTATTAGTTGCTACAGCCTTTGAACTAAGGAGTCTGGGTTCTTTGCTCAACCAGTAGAGACTCATACTTTTAGATCCAGAGGTCACAGGTTCAAATCCCTGCAGATGACTATTTGTGCAAAACAACTGACTGTTTTAACCATAAATTCCTCCCTTTCAATTGTAACTCAGGCCAGGCTCACTAGAAGCTTGGCCCAAGTTTGCTGAAGGACTTCTGGGTTTATAACGAAAGCAGCCAAGTTTTGCACAAGTTTTTCAGTCATGAAAATAGAAGTGTGAGCATTTGCAGAGCAACTTGCCCTAGTTGTGGTGTTTTTATTGTTTGTATTCCAGTAGGAGCTAGAAGTCCCTGTCAAGATTAGAGCCCCTCTCAAATGTGTGCGCGCACACACACACTGAAAAGACAGTCCCTGCCCCAAACAGCATAGGTCTATGGAAGTCCTGGCCTCACCTCCAGCAGTGTGAAGTAATCAGGAAGGAAGAACAGTAGGAATCAGGAAGAGATAATTTGATCCCATTAAATTCTTCATTGTATCACAGATGTCTGATAAATGTATATATTTTTAATGTAAATTCCAAAGCTCTGTGGATATGGGGAAAGCAGTGGACGTGATATACCTTGACTTTAGCAAAGCTTTTGATACGGTGTCCCACAGTATTCTTGCCAGTAAGTTATAGTAGTATGGGCTGGATGAATGGACTGTAAGGTAGATAGAAAGCTGGCTAGATCATTGGGCTCAGTGGGTAGTGATCAATGGCTTGATGTCTAGTTGGCAGCCGGTATCAAGCGGAGTGCCCCAGGGGTCGGTTGTGGGGCCGGTTTTGTTCAACATCTTCATTAATGATCTGGATGATGGGATAGATTGCACCCTCAGCAAGTTCGTGGATCGCACTAAGCTGGAGGGAGAGGTAGATACACTGGCGGGTAGGGATAGGATCCTGAGTGACCTAGACAAATTGGAGGATTGGGTCAAAAGAAATCTGACAAGAGTCCTGCACTTAGGATTGAAGAATCCCATGCACAGCTACAGACAGGGGACCGACTGGCTAAGCGGCAGTTCTGCAGAAAAGGACCTGGGGATTACCTTGGACGAGAAGCTGGATATGAGTCAACAGTGTGCCCTTTTTGCCAAGAAGGCTAATGGCATATTGGGCTGCATTAGCAGGAGCATTGCCAGCAGATCGAGGGAAGTGATTATTTCCCTCTATTCAGCACTGGTGAGGCCACATTTGGAGTATTGCATCCAGTTCTGGGCCCTGGACTACAGAAAGGATGTGGACAAATTGGAGAGAGAGTCCAGCGGAGGGCAATGAAAATGATTAGAGGGCTGGGACATATGACTTATGAGGAGAGGCTGAGGGAAATGGGCTTATTTAGTCTGCAGAAGAGAAGAGTGAGGCGGGATTTGATAGCAGCCTTCAACTACCTGAAGGGGAGTTCAAAAGAGGATGGAGCTAGGCTGTTCTCAGTGGATGACAGATGACAGAACAAGGAGTAATGGTCTCAAGTTGCAGTGGGGGAGGTCTAGATTGGATATTAGGAAAAACTATTTCACTAGGAGGATGGTGAAGCACTGGAATGGGTTACCTCGGGAGGTGGTGGAATCTCCATCCTTCGAGGTTTTTAAGGCCCGGCTTGACAAAGCCCTGGCTGGGATGATTTAGTTGGGGTTGGTCCTGCTTTGAGCAGGGGTTGGACTAGGTGACCTCCTGAGGTCTCTTCCAACCCTAATCTTCTATGATTCTATAATCTAGGTTCCACTCCTGTCATCATTCAGGGGGAATTCCCATCTAAATCAGCAAGAGTTCATCCTGAATAAAGACTGCAAGATTAGGCCCCATAGCTTGCTTTCCTTTTTTTTACATGTGATGTTTATTAAAAAATATTCTTCTCAAACAATGGAGAGTAACTTCATTTGGTATGATGGAATTATTTGAGAAACTGTTGATAACTATTCTGTTTGTGCATTTCATTGTCATTACTGGATGTAGGGATTAAAATATCGTATTCTATATCCTATACTATATAAGTGTAGCATCTTGAGACCATATGATTCATTCTTCTCTTCTACACTATGGTTCCAACTCTATAAGTGATAACATTCCAGGAGCATTGAATTATGTAGTCAGTATATGGAAGTACAGATAGACATACAGCTAAATTGAAAATATTGCTACTTATAATTAGCCACATAAGTGACTAACCACTGTAGGATATGTTCTCTTTTCAATTTTGCATGCAAACTGCTTGGATCAAGATGAGACTGTTTCTCATCTTATAGTTTAGTCCAGCAAATCTGGGATAAGTTTTGATTTTATGGAATAGAATCCTTCTTGTGTTTCCATACTTGGTAACTCTTCACTTCTACCAGATATTGGGGATTGGGGTTGGGGATTGGTCCTGCTTTGAGCAGGGGGCTGGACTAGATGACCTCCTGAGGTCCCTTCCAACCTTGATAGTCTATGATTCTATGATTCTATATTAAAATGAGTGCTTTTACAACACAGATTCCCAGGGAGACATGGATCGGACACATATTGAGCCCAATATGTACCTCACATTGTTACTTAAAGGTAAGAGCCACAGGTGAAGTGTTTTGCTATCTATAGCTATTAAGTCACATTCTTTGAGTTCATTTGGCTTTCTTTTTCTTAACAGTCACTATCCTAAAAGAACCTAACAACATACATGCTCTCTATTCTTGTTAAAGGTCTTTGCAAATATAACCCAGATGTAAAGCTTCGTTGTGCACAAAAACAAACAAACAAAAGGCAAAGAGGATGTGAGGGGAAACCAAAAGCAAAAGGTTTTAAAAAGTTACTTCCTTTTAGGAGGTTTATAACATGTTGAATTAAAGAGCCGCAGGTGTTGTATTCAGAGCACTGGGAATAGCACTTGATAATGCCACATGAGGGATGTTATTTGTTGAGACAGGACAGTGTTTAAACTTTGAAGTCAGTATTAAACAAAGTGAAGCAGCTGGAATCTGGCATACGAAGAAACAAGTCATTCATATGAACTATTGCTATTAAGGGAACAAGAGGTACTGCATTGGAGTTGTTTTTATAGATGCCTGAAAGTTTACTCTAGGACTTAGCTGTTTTACTTTTGCATTAAATTATACATTTGTAAAGCAAGCATCCAAGCTTCGGTGGATGAGTGGTTGGGTGGAAGGTTTTGCAACAAATATGAAGGGAGTGATAGAAATAGTTTTTGTATCTGTATGGTAGTAATTTGTACCCCAGTCCTTCAAACTGTTCCATGAGTCGACCCCTATATATTGCAGGTTGCCACCGGGGTCCACTTTTAGAGATCCACTTGCAGGATTGAGGCCCTGGTTGGGTTTCTCATTTAAGAGAATTCTTGATTTAAAATACCAGTCTTACTAACTGTCCCTGGAAGAACAGCACGGGACTAAAAGGATAAAGCATATGTTTTTATTTGGCTTAAAAAAATCAGATTTGTTTAGTTTTTTCTTTTGCCAAATAGAAAAAAATGATTTAAACATTTTTTTCTTTGTTCCTAATGTTGACATATGGTGTTAGTAACCAAACCTCTCTTCAGTCTGTTTGATTCCTGCTCGAATTGGCACAAGTTCCTGATGCACAGTATGCTGTATACGAAGTGTGTATGTGCAAATACATTTCACACAGAAATTTTTTTATGACCGGCCATGGATTGAAATAGATAATTTTCATGTCCCGTTCAGTTAGATTCTTGAAATTTAGTACTGAACATTAATTTGTTATAGACTGCTGAGTACAAGGAAAAAAACTCCCAAATCTGAAAACTGACCTTTCCGTCACAGGGTCACCAAAATGTTGTCAGTCATTATTACTGAATTTCAGCCAATCAAAGGCTCTTACATGGATGTTATCAGTATCGATTTTCAAAAATTATGTTAATGTATTCTATGAGATGGTGATTGTGACTGGAGAAATGAAGGACACCGGTTCTTCTTATTGGGTTTTAACATGGAAAATGTCTATAAATATGTTTAAGTAGGTGTTTATAAAACTAAATAGAGACTTCCAGATCTTCTAAACAGGCAAAAGCTGCTGAACTTGTGATAAGAATAATGCTTAGTTACCTGATTTACTGTGTTTTTATGGAATAGTGAAATTCTCCATTCAATTTTTATATACTATACTATACTCCACTACGAGTTGCATATTTATGAATGAAGGATGTTTAAGATGAAAGCCTCTATTTATTGATCATAAGCTGTTATCTTCTGATAAAATAATAAAACAAAATGCCACATCATTAAAATAGGAGCTTGCCAAAGGTTTTATGCAGGCACAAATACTGATAACTAGATCCAGCCAAAAGGCAGATATAGCTGTTAGCAAGTGTGTATGTTTGTATGTATTTGCAGATATATAAGCACACAAGCATATGTGCTCTGTGTGTGTGTATTTACATATAGGTGTGGTGTGTGTGTGTGTGTGTGTGTGCGCATGCATATGAGTTGCTTATATAATGTATGCACCAGGCACATTAGAGGTCAGATTTAGAAAGAGTTGACAATAATAAAACACAGACGAGGGTAACTTAATAGTTGTGCCATTAGGCCAACATAGACTTAGAATACCAACAGCTTTGGAAACTTGCAGTCATAAAGCAAGATCTCAAACTTTCCTGAAACAGGATATCCATAAACCTTCATATTTAAAATGTTGAAAGTATAGATAAAACATTTTCTGCACATGTCTAATGTATACAGTAGAAAAGATTTTAAAATTGTCTCGAAAATAAATCATTGTTCTTTACACATGGCACATTTTAAATGGATCTTTAAAAAAATAAATAGAAGATAGTGAAATAGCTGAGAATATTTCTGTGGACCAATTAGAATGTATTATTCTATTGGTTTCTGTATGTACGTTTCGCGTTTTATATCAAACACAAAATTGGACTCTAGTATGTCTGCAAAACATATTACAGCATATGTTAGGAAGAACTTACACTGGTATGGTCTTTCAGCACCCCAGCTTCAAACACTTGGCAGGTTAGATGAAGTTATTGCAAACCCCTGGCATCAGGGAATATTCTTTTTTAACAAACCTGAAAACAGCTGTTGAAACAATGACATCATGGAATAGTGGCATGACTGTGGAAATTATTAACAAAGTCAAGCTTTGAAAGCATCAAACTACATATAATATAGGTAGAGTATACAAAGGTTTGCTTTAGTGTTTATGGATGATTTACAAAGTTTCCTTAGGCATCACACTTTCACATTTTAAGTCCATACTAGCTTAGTTTCTGACCAACTGAACATTCGCACTTTTTTTACTTCCCATTTTTCATAACCAGTTTCTTTTTTTTAAGCAGCCCCTAGTTGCATCAATAACTTCATATATAAAATATATGATGTGTGCAACTTTTTAGCATTTCCAAAAGTGTCCTTTTAAACAGTCTTCAGAAGATGTACAACTTCTTGCATGTACTCATTGTGGGTTAGGTTTGCTTAGGGCTTATGCCAATATAAACCTTGGCAGATGTACTTTGCAGAGGAAAGACAGCAGGGGAATGAGGCTGTTTGTGCAAAGTCTCAGGGTGGGGGTGGGTGTAAAGGGGCATCAGTGCCTGAAGAGTGAATTGGATTGGAAAGGGGGTGTCACCATAGCAGCCAGTGCCTGAAGAGTGAATTGGATTGGAAAGGGGGTGTCACCATAGCAGCCAGGTAACTCGCTGACTTAATGGCAACTCTGAAAAAGGGATAGTGGTATCTCCACCTTACTTCTACAGGGGCCAGCCTTCCTGAGGTGCAAAAAGTTTAGCTGGCAAAGATTGCTCCCTGTATTGGATTTACTGAGTTTGGCCATAAATGTGTTTGACCTCCTTGGAAGTTGGCAGCCACTGTAGACCAAAAAGCACTAGATGAAATTTTATATTCGCAGTGGTTTTTATTCCATCACTGATCAGTTTAATTAGCAATTTAAGTATGTTTTGGCACATTCAAGTGAAAGCAGGGTGTTGCTGTGTTGTCATAATAGATAAGCCTGACAAATATTTTATGTGTGGAATTGAGAGAATGGAGTTCTAATTGCCGAGGCTGTCGGAGAACAAGGGAAGATCACTAATGTACTGTGTCATGTTAGTAGAAAAACAAACTCCGCCAGGGATTTCACTGTCACACTCACCAAAACAAGGATACTTTCAGCTTGCCTCTAGGATGTTTGGTTTTTGTTACTAAACCCTTTATTTTACAAAGTGACATTGAGTTCACAAAATGCTATGTAAGTAATGAAGCTTATGGTAGCTTGACAGTATTGATTGGCTGCAGGAGGGTGGTTCCTCCCTGCCCTAGATTTTAACTTTTGACTAATGACCTGAGGTACTTATGGGAGGCCTTTGTCCACACGTTTAAATCTGTGCTGCAGTTGCTGTAAAGCAGATAGATGTAAATTGAATTTATTCAGTAACTGGTTTCTTCATATACTCTAAAGACTAAATATCTGTTAAAAGAATTTACTTTAGAGGCTCATTCCATAGTATGTTGATCAGATTAATTTGCCACTTGTTTCATTGTTTCCACAATGGTGAGGAGATGATCTTGAACTTCCCATATCCCTTATTTTTAATTTTAAACTAACAGAAAAATAGAGTTCAGAAATAGCTTTTAAAAATTACTACTGTGGGGATTCTCTCTCTCTCTCTCCCCCCCACCCCCCGAAGTCCTGTTTATTTGGGAGAGCTGTAGTATGGACAACAGTTAAATCTGTAATATTATCTGTTTTTCTCACTGATACTGAAAGAGATTAATTTGAGGTCCTGAATTGTGTGCCATTAATTGCCGCCATCTCCCATCCTGAGGAAGATCCCAAACAGTTAGTGGTATGGTGCCAAAGAACAGTGAAAGCTAGAAGATATCTAAGGGCAGAGAGACCATCTTCCAATCATTCAGTATTTTTTTTTTTTGCCTCCTTTCCTGGAAGCATGGAGCCTAGTTAACGTTTTGAATCCAGATCCTCCTTTCCCTCTAGCACCTACTTAATGAGGTTAGACAAGAAGAAGGGTGACTCTGAGAAGAGGGACCAAAACAGGAAGAACCCAGCTAAGAAAGCTTAGACTTAGCATCACATGGTGGCTGTGCACCAATTGTGTGTGCTACGCATCCTGAAAAGAGTCTTGGGGAGCTTGCTCCACGGGATCCTTCCCCAACTCTGCAGGAGGAATGTCTGAGAGAATACTTCATGGGACCCATCACCAATTGTCAGCATCCTTCCCTTTGGAGGGATAATGGCTCTCACTCCCCTTAATCTCTCTGTACCTAGAGTGGGTGGTTTAATTCTGATGCTGTTTTGGAGTCCAGTTCTGCTTCCACTGCATGTTAGCACTCTCATTGTAGACTGGTTCGTGGCTCCACCTTCTGCTGCCCCGTCCTGTTTTCTTCCCACAGCTCAATGTAAGTAGCACCCTTACCTTTTGCCTACACTTTCTTCCCTCCCATCCTCTGGTGTCTGGGCGCAGGTATTTTCTCCCTCTCCAGCTTTTCAGCACTGCAGCGGCTTTCCCTGCTGCTCAGCACAAAGTGCAGCTATACACTCTTAGGGGCTTGCTTCCCATAGTGGTCTCCCACTGCTGTACTACGGCCGCTGGCGCAGTGCCAGCTTGACTGCTGCCTGGGATTTCACTCTGCCGAGGGTATTGATACCTCCTGGGGTCAGAGGGTTGAGATCACGACAGAGGAAAACTCAAGCTGTTGCTTCACACTTGAATCCCACCCTACCAGGTAGACATAGATAGTGGAGGCACACTCAGCTGGTAGAGTTCCCCAAGCCTTCTTTTACCTAAGCCACCTCCTGTCAGACTGCTTGTTACATCTACTTTTTGGCTGGAACCTTCCACTGGATGGAAGAAAAGAGGGATGAATGACAAGAGGCTAACGTAGGGCTTGTTCATCCACTCAGGGAAGGGGATGCTGGAAGGATGATTTCCCTACAAGGGCAGAGTTAAGGCAGTGTTTGGTCTGTAATGTAGGGTATTTGAGATAGTGATAGAGTGTATCCCTGTGGGAGAAGAAGTAGAGTGTATCTACTGTTAGTTATTTTAACTTTTCGTTTCCTTGCTTTTTAAAATTTTTGTCAGATATGCTGGGTGTCGCAACTTTAACTGTTTCATAAGTCTTTTGGCATGTGACTATATAAGAAGATACAGATTTTTATATTTTACTTACACACACACACACACACACACACACACACACACACACACACACACA